AACCTCAGGAATGAAGCTGCTGTTGGCTGGACTAAAGGATCCCCGCTGGAAACTGGACACACTAAGGTATGAAAAGAATGTCTGAAGAAGAGGAAGAGCTGGAAATATCTTCTGTGTTGTTCAATCACTTGCTATTTGATTGATGCAAATGTGACAATGACACATGTCAGAATATTTTCAGAAACACAAATATTAATCAAACGGGATTATAAAGAAATACTAATCAGTGTGGTGTACAAAAAGGACTAATCCAGGACCAATATTCATAACTGGATTTTGCTCACCATTTATTAACCTGTTTGGATAGATGTCTGTATGTTTAATGGCATAGTCTTTTTAAAGAATAATCCCCTCCCTCACTTTTGACTGGATTCAAATTAGATTAATTTCTGTTTAGGGACAGTGCAAGGACTAAGCCTAAATTGATCAAAATGTTAAAAACAAATTATTGGTAAAGTTGTATTTAAGTGGACTGTGTGACAACCTAACAACCACAGGGAAATTATGTTGTGTTGTGAATTTATTATAAAAAAAAAAAATCATGTTCCAGCTGTGGCATCCCACTAGATAATAGTGAAGACAGTGTACCCAGCCACAAGATCACTTGGGGTAAATGGCCCTTATTCACCATGTAACCAAGGGTCCTTGCATCTTGGCAACTAAGTTTAATCTAGATGAAGGGTGTTTGTCTCCTAGTGAAAACTGTTTAAGCATAGCCCCTCTTTTTTTATAAGTGCTGCTGATTTTGCCCTGGAGCATATTCTCTCGTCACAACTAGCCCTATGTGTGTAGTTTTGCTCTAAGAAAATATTTCATTTTTTACTCGGTTTGGACCTTCTTCACTTTTCATTAATTAGGTCCAACACCCACAGGATTTGCTGCCAAACAGCAGGTCAAAAGGAGAAATTCCTGCAGAGGTGTGGTGCACTTCCTAAACTGCAAACAAAAAAGTCAATTGCATTTCTTGTGAATTAATTTATGAATTATGACCTTTGAAGTCTTTTTGAGATGCTCCACCAACCTTTCACTCTGAGGCTGGTAGATGCTGGTCTAAATAAATCTAATGCCAAGTAATTTGTACTGTTCTTTCAGTGTGCAAGACATGAACGAGATGGCCAGTATCTCTTTAGGGATGCTAACTTGGGAGATTACCTGAAACAGTGCCAGCGTCACAGTCTTTGTAAAACTACTGTGCTGCAGCACTGACTCAAGACATCATGTTGATTAATCTTTTAGGACTAATACAAAGATAACCCTGTCTAGAGAAATGGCAGTCTGTCCTGTGCACATCTGATTCGCCTCAGTCATAAAGCAGGATGGGGCCAGACAATAAAGTCTTTAGAGAGGGTCATCTGTGCTGTGTTTCCTCCATCCGGGACCTGTAACAGTCTGGAATGAGGAAATGGGACAAACACATCTCTACAGAATTTCACTTTGATGAACACTATGAATGTTCATGTGTATGAGAGCCATGTAATGTACATGTGTGCATGCTGGAAGAGACTGTGCTGGTCTGACCCCCCTCCTCCTTTCAGGGTGGAGCCTGCTGGAGTCCGATGGTTGAGACCAGGTCTGAGGAAGTGTAAGTGTGTTTTTAATGGGATTCATGAAAACAAAGCAGAACACATTCAAATATCTACATCATTCACATCTCTGATGTCAGGAGTCATCATCAAAGGGTCAATCAATGAACAGATGATGGATCAATAACTGCAGCTGGATTGTGTTTGTTCTCTCCATCAGATTCCTGTCAACTCACAATCGACACAAACACAGTGAACACAAACCTCCAACTGTCTGACAACAACAGGAAGGTGAAACGTGTGGAGGAGGTTCAATCATATCCTGATCATCCAGACAGATTTGATTACTGGACTCAACTACTGTGTAGAAATGATGTGACTGGTCACTGTTACTGGGAGGTCGAGTGGAGCGGAGACGTTGAGATATCAGTGAGTTACAGAAGCATCAGAAGAAAAGGAGGAGGTGATGGCTGTCTGTTTGGATTTAATGATCAGTCCTGGAGTCTATATTGCACTGATGATGGTCCTCAATTTGTCAGACACAATAACACAGGAACATCCATCTCCTCCTCCTCCTCCTCCTCCTCTGTCTCTAACAGAGTAGCAGTGTATGTGGACTGTCCTGCTGGCACTCTGTCTTTCTATAGAGTTTCCTCTGACACTCTGATCCACCTCCACACCTTCAACACCACATTCACTCAAACTCTTTATCCTGGATTTAGGTTCTTGTTTCCAGGTTCCTCAGTGTGTCTGTGCTGAGTTGAGTGTAAAGAGTGTCTCCTGTTAGAGAAACATGTCATCACTAATGACATCATTAATGACATTAATACATTTGACATATGTTTCACGTATTATAGACCAACAAGGTATTTTTAGCAATTTAAATACAAGTAATCAGTTTTGGGCAAAAACCAGAAATCGGTTTTTGGCAGACGATCATTTTTTGGCACAACACCGGTCATTATTACACATGTAATTTATTATATAAAATATATAAACTAAATGTCTTTGAAACTTATAGAATCTAATCTTTTGGTTTCTTTTTTTACATCGCACTTTATCAAACTGTTGTCTGCTACAGAGTTACAAGTATTATACTAGTAGTAATATAGCATCCACCATCTCGTGTTTGCATATTTCTGAAAACATCTTAGTGGTGTGGCAGCCATGGAGTGAGCCAGCCCTGCAAACCTTGTGGATGGACGATGCAGTGGACAGTGGGAGGAAGCATGCTAAAGTTCTTTGCAGACAACCCTGTGAGATTCTACAATCACCGACCAGAAAAGACAAACCGCAGGTCTCAGTTGCAGCACCCCATCTATTTCTGATCTTGCTCCAGCAGATTCAGCAACACTGCCAGAGAGTTCCTGTCATCTATTACAGTTGTTACAGAAATGATCCAGGAACAGGTCACTCAGGTTAATCCTGTGTAAACAATGGTAAATATTGTTTTTTCATCTTTACATACTGTGTATTTGAAATATTCTGGTTTAATTGTTGTTATTTATTTTATTGCTATCAAATAAATATCCATGTAATATTGTTCATAGTTAGCGTTATGTTCATCATGTTAAAAATGCCTGTAAATCAAATTGAGTTCAGTATCAATTATTGTTTGTGTTAATCAATTTATTAATAACATAAAACCTTTAAACTAATGCAACACATATAACAATGTAACAAATATATTCAAATACAATACAATACAATACAACTTTATTTGTATAGCACGTTTAAAAGACCGGCGGTACACCAAAGTGCTTTACAATAAAAACAGGAAAATTAATACATTAAATAAAAGACAATTAACAAAGTGCCACATATGTCATCAGGTAAAGGACACTAATTATACGGCAATAGAAGGAAATATAAGAACAAAGTACTAAGAACAGATATAGCTGAAAGATAAAGTACATAACTAGGAAATTGAACCAAATATAAAATAGGGACACTAACTAGATGGAAAGGCTATGTTGAATAAATGCGTTTTTAAACGGGATTTAAGAGATAAAACGGAGTCTGACGCACAGGTAGTGATAGGAAGGTTGTTCCACAGATTCGGTGCAACCAGGGCAAAAGCACGGTCAACCCTAGATTTACGTCTAGATCTAGGCTGAGCCAGGAGTAATTGGGCTGAAGAACTGAGGGCTCGCCCAGGGACATATAGACTAAGAAGACTGACAAGATAACGAGGGGCTAAATTATTTATAATTTTAAAGGTGAGCAACAATATTTTAAATTCAATATGATATTTTATGGGTAACCAATACAAATCAGCAAGAACAGGGGTGACAGAGGCATGCTTTCTAGTACCAGTCAGGAGGCGAGCCTGGACAAGCTGAAGTCTGTGAAGGAGAGCAGAGTGAAGACCAAAGTAGAGAGAATTACAATAATCCAATCTAAAAGTTATAAAAGCATGAATGAGTTTACAAGATCTTTATGAGGGACATAGTGCTTAGCCTTAGCAATAAGGCGCAGTTGATTTGATTACTGAAGACACTTGTTTGTTAAATTTGAAAGAGCTATCCAGCAGGACACCTAGGTCACTAACCGAGTCAGAGAAAGAAGTGGCAAAGGAACCAAAGGTATCAGTTAATAGGCCCCTAGGGATATGGTTGCCAAACACTACAATCTCCGTTTTCTTTTCATTCAGGATAAGGGAATTGCCTGAAAGCCATTCTCTAACTTCTCTCGTGCACTCAAGGAAGCAGTGCAACGAAGGAGCAATGTCGTGATAATGATGTATATGTATGATGTAATGTATACTTTATTGAGGGGCCGATGGCGCAATATGGCAGCCTCGCCTCTGTCAGTCTGCCCCAGGGCAGCTGTGGCTACAACTGTAGCTTGCCTTCACCAGTATATGAATGTGAGAGTGAATGAATAGTGGAATTGTAAAGCGCTTTGAGGGTCCCGAAAAGCGCTATATAAATGCAATCCATTATTATTATTATTATTGATCCCCGTGGGGAAATTCTTCTCTGCATTTAACCCATTTACTCAGTGAAGCAGTGGGCAGCCACCAGCGCGGTGCCCGGGGAGCAGTGTGTGGGGACGGTATCTTGCTCACGGGTACCTCAGGTTAGCCGTTCAGGGGATTCGAACCCCCGACCTTCCGATCATGGGTCGTCAACATCTAATTGAAAATATGGCCTTTGAAGTGGGTTGGCCCACTAACCCACTGAACAAGGTTAAAAGAGTCAGTTAAGGTAAGAAAGTCTGTGGCTAAAAGGTCATCCTTACAGCAAATATGAATGTTAAAATCACCAGTAATAAGAACACAGTCCTATTCAACAAAAATAGATCCTAACAGATCAGTAAAATCATGAATAAAGAATTTATTATACTTCGGCGGTCGATAAACCATGGCACACAAGGTTTTAGAAGAATTGACCAGTTCCACTAATTGAACTTCAAAGCTACCATAGGTAGGAGAAGGCTGCTGCCAAGCTTTATGTATATTTTTAAAAAATGAGGCTAAGCCACCACCTCCACCCGTAGCCCGTGAGCTAAAGAAGGAACAGTCAGGAGGAAGAAGTTCCGAGAAGGAGAAGGAGTCATCAGGGCAAATCCATGTCTTTGTCAGGAACAAGATGTCAAGCCCCGAAGAGAGGAAAAAGTAATTTAAAATAAAAGTCTTGTTCACCTGTGACCTTACATTTGGTAGAGCCATCCGCGTCATAGTTGTGTCTCTGCTCGTAGCACGGTGCAGATGACTTAGATTGTTGCGGCACACACCACCTCTGGAAGACGATATCCAGGTCCGAATAGGTAGGCATGCCTCTGGGAGGGTGGGGTAGTCTAAATTATTAAACTACCCCATTTTGGAACAAATCTTTCAAGAAGTGAAAACAGTCTGTCCATCCTCTCCCTGTTCTCCTGCGCTCTCCTCTCCTCAGCCTCTCTTTTCTGCCTCATGTACTCTTTGATGAGGTCTGGCAGTTCATTATTCCTGTCTCTTCTTCTATTCCTCCCTGTCGTTGGTGGCTGTTTCACTTCCTCATCATTTTCATTTTGGTCACCCACTGCTGCGCTTGGCCCTGGAGTGTCCTCATGGAGAGAGAAAATTAGGACAGGAGGCCTAATGGAAGGCCTTCCTCCCGTGTTGCAATTGTGAGTCTTATTTTGAAAGAAATATTTACACGTTACCATAGCAACCGGGGCGCATTAAGAGGCAGAGAGGAGGATGTTACTCTGATGGCTTATTTTCAGGAGGACGCTTCTAATCAAGTTACACAATTACACAGTGAATTCGCGTTTATTAATATAATTTCAAAATACCAGTTTTTGTCTTGGTCAGATCATTTTATTTTGTTGTATTTTTCCGCGACACCTTAAATAATTTAGATTCTGATCAAGAATCCAATTCAAACTATAATGTAGAACAACATCGTTACAATTTCCAGCCTTCCAGGAAATGAATAATACTGTTAACAATACTTAAAAAAATAAACAGTCTGTTGACATAATTCCACAGATCTGTGAAGCGCTTTCCACCTGACAGCACTGCTACTAGCATCCAGGTCATAAGCGGTCACTGAGCCAATGATGGTTCCTGGGGGAGTGTCCTCGTACACGTCCAAAGAATAGTAAGGCGTGGTGAAGACAGGAGGCTCGTCCACATCCAGTACGTTAATTTCGACTGTCACAGAGTCCTTGAAGGGCCCCAGATGGAGGAAACGGGGATCTAGCTCTGCATTAAATGCTTCCACCTTGAAAGTATAGGACGCTTGGGTTTCATAGTCAAGAGTCTGGAAAACATGGGAAGAAATCCACTGAGATGAAGCAAAAAAGTCAGAGCAATCCTTATATTACCTCATGTCTGCAGAGAGAGGACGCCCACAGGCCGTCTACAGTGATTTTAACTAAAATACTTTCTGAAGTATAATTTTAGGACCATCTGGGAACTTTTTAAAAAGATAACTACAGAAATTTTTGTTTTTGCGGTCCAAACAAAAATATCAATCCAGCGCAAAGAAGACTATTACAAAGCAATGCTTCTGTCCTGACATTTGTATGGAATCATTCTGGAGACGATGTCTTATCCGTGTTATTGGTTTTGAACATACCACAGCAAAATTAAATAAAGCTCGACCCACGACTGTTGACGCTTGGAAAACCTTCTCATCCAGAGTTATCTCCTGGAAGAGGCAATAATTGGTTTTAACTTTGTGTTGTTGTGTCTTTTCTTTGCTGTCCCTATGCCTTGTTTGCTAATGTTTGCTTTGCTACTGCAGTTTACAGTTCTACTGTATATGTCTGTACCCCCCCCCCCCCAACCCCGTTTTAAATCAATAAAATGTTGATCACAAAAAAAATATCAATCCAGTGTGAAAGTTAAATAAAAATGACATTTTATTCATGTATGTGACTGTGATTGTTTAAAAGATATTCTGCATGCTTTATTTCACAGTAATTGTGTTGTAAAATGAAACTATATGCCATTAAGAAAATGTTTTTACTTCCCTTTTGCAATGTGAAGTTTTTTATTACGTGTGCTCAAATATGGGAGCACTGAACTTCATTTTGATGGCATCAAAGACGAGTGAAAATCTCTGGCATTTATCTTTAAAATTTAAATTTAACAGTCCAATCAAATTCCTGTATTTTAAACCACAGTATATGTAGAATTAATCAGTCGGCTGACATGTTTATCATCTCATTGTACAGGACAGAAAAATGCCCCCCCCCCATCAAGAGACTTATTGGGCTGGACCAGGTGACCCTGAATCCTCCCTTAGTGATGCTGCAACAGCTGTAGGCTGCTGGGGGATTCCCATGATGCATTGAGTGTTTCTTCTTCACTCACTATGTGTTAACAGACCTCTCTGCATTGAATCATATCTGTTATTAACCTCTGTCTCTCTTCCACAGCATGTCTTTATCCTGTCTTCCTTCTCTCACCCCAACCAATCACAGCAGATGGCTCCGCCCCTCCCTGAGCCTGGTTCTGCCGGAGGTTTCTTCCTGTTAAAAGGGAGTTTTTCCTTCCCACTGTCGCCAAAGTGCTTGTTCATAGGGGGTCACATGATTGTTGAGTTTTTCTCTGGATGTATTATTGTAGGGTCAACCTTACAGTATAAAGCTCCTTGAGGCGACTGATGTTGCGATTTGATGCTGTATAAATGTCTTTTTCTCTTTAAGACTCTCCTGTAATTTAATTTAACTGGTACATGTTATTTTAGAATTTAGAACCACTAATTAGCCAAAACCCACTAACTGCATATCTTTGGATTGTGGAAGGAAGCCAAAGTACTGGGAGAGAGCCCAAACAACCGCAGGCATCACATTCAGGCTCCACACAGAAAGACCTTGGCCAGGTAGTAGAGCAGATCAGCTACTGATTGGAAGGTTGGAGGTTCGATCCTTGGCTTCCCCAGTCTGCATGCCAAATATCCTTACTAACCCCAAGTTGCTCTCCGATGCATCCATCAGAGTGTGAATGTTGGTTAGTTTACACTTGAGTTTAGAAGTGGGTGTAAATGAGGCTATACAGCGCTTTGAGTACTCCGGGAGAATAGAAAAGTGCTATATAAAAATCAATTCATTTACCAAACGTGGTTCATAGTTCTAAATGCTTTAAATTGTCAGTGAGAATAGAGAAACGCTTTTGGCTGACACGAGTATTTGACCAGTCCACACACACCGTTGGCTGCTGCGGCTGCCTGCGTTTACCTGGGAGTACAAAAGGCTGAGGATTCTTCACTCATGTTCGACTCTCTTGAACAGACGTAGGCTGTCCCTCCTGCCTCTGCCTTTGTGCCGCTGCCTTTTGAGCCTCTGTTTTTTGAGTTGTGGCCTTTGAGATGACTCGTGTTCTATTAGTGTTCTTGTGTTATTTGAAAATTTGAGAGTTGTTTTTTTGTTTGAATTGCCTCAGTGCCTAGTGAGTCGTTTCACTATGTGTTTTCAGTTGTGGTAATAAACCTTGTGTTTTTTTAATCTGCCCCCCCTCGTCTCTGGGCTCATTTATGTTACCTCCCCTTGAAAAAGAGCCGAACACAAGCGCTCTGACATTTCCTGTGAGAGATAAAGAAATGGAGGCGTAGACGAAGTCAAAGAAACCAAATTAGAAATGATGCATCTGAGAGGGTAGTTGTTTTTTATGAACACCTGCCTTGACTGGTTGTGGAATAAATACAATGAACACAATGTGAAAGGTTTACAGATAGCTTTTAGGACTTAGGATTATTTAAAAGGGAATCAAAATGGTTCCATCCATTAATGCATGAAGAATTTTTTTCAATATCACTCTTAGACACCATGTTTTTAATTTTAGCAATATTATGCAGATCAAAAATGCAGTCTTAGACACAAAACAACTTCAAGGTTTCTAATGGTACTATAGATCCAGGTAATGACAACTATGATAAATTGACTGGTTCTTATATACACTAGCACTTCTCTGCTCTACTTAACCACTTTACACACAAGTGTATGTAACCCAGTAGCTTTTGTTGTTATTCTTTCTTGCTTTCTCTTTATTTGTATAAATGTATTTCCACTCTCTTATTTTGAAAAGACAAATTTATTTTGAAAGAAGTGTGATCCTCTATCAAACTTTATTTTTCTTTTTACGGATCACATTGGGTAATGGCCATTTCATTTGTTGGAAGCGGTTTCAGTCCCGCCTTCCAAGCACCGGACCACCATTACACACGAGCTTGGTTTTTCGCACGTGGAAGGTAGACGAGACAGGCTTCGGATGGTCTGTGCGGAATTTTCTGTCATTTTGGCTAGGTGTTCTGTTCGTGTGATAAAGCAACTAAGATTTTGGATTCTCTCCGGATAGAGGTAGCGAGCCTGTGCCCAGACTAAACTAATCTCTCCCTCAAGAGAGGCATAAAAGTGGTAACACACAAACCACAAAACCAAGGAAAAAAGAACTAGACTAGTAAGAAACCCTGACTAGACTAATAAGGAATCCAGACCTGACAAATGACCAGAAATTGAAATATTGAGCTCAGTAGGTTATTTTTGTTATGCCGGCTTATCATTACTATTACTGCTGTTATTGTGGAATTTGTGTCTGATTTACTGGGGCGATCGTGGCTCAAGAGTTGGGAGTTCGCCTTGTAATCGGAAGGTTGCTGGTTTAAGCCCCGGCTTGGACAGTCTCGGTCGTTGTGTCCTTGGGCAAGACACTTCACCCGTTGCCTACTGGTGGTGGTCAGAGGGCCCGGTGGTGCCAGTGTCCAGCAGCCTCGCCTCTGTCAGTGCGCCCCAGGGTGGCTGTGGCTACAATGTAGCTGCCATCACCAGTGTGTGAATGGGTGGATGACTGGATATGTAAAGCGCTTTGGGGTCCTTAGGGACTAGTAAAGCGCTATACAAATACAGGCCACTTACCATTTAATTTTCAATTCTGTACAAAATAATAACCATTGTTGCTCATTTCCTGTCTCCAGCCATTTCACTCCACGGTCACCTCATTTCCTATTGTAATCCTGCTAAACCTAGTCTGTAGTTTTGGCTGTTCTAAACTATTTAAAGTGAGTCAGGGGTCACATATAATTGCTTTCTATCTAATGTTTTCAATCCATTTCATGTACACATCCATGTCTTTATCTCTCAAAGGAAAGTCAGAGAGTTTGTCCTGCACTCATCACTGTGATGATAGTCCTGGTCAAATACTCGTGTCAGCCAAATGTGTCTTTTATTCAACAAAATAACAAAATTGTCACCAGAGCACAAAGTATGAAGGAATGAATACAGTACAAAGTACAATAGTCCCTTACATGGTATTACCCCAGTGACAGCAATTACAATGGAACAGCAATTACAATGGACCAGACAGTCAGTTAGTGTTTCTCTGTTCTCACTGACAATTTAACACATTTAGAACTATGAACCACATTTAACAATGTGGCTGTGAAGCAGTCTCAGGCTACGTTCACACTGCAGGCGAAAGTGCATCAAATCCGACTTTTTTGACCCTATGCGACCCATTGGCACAAATCCAATATTTTCAAATCTGACCTGGGTCACTTTCGTATGTGGTACTGAATCTGACACATATCCGAGGTTGTAGAAAGCGACTGCTGTTTGATGGTCACGTCGCATTAAATCCGTCTTTTACGTCACTGACACTAGACAGACGCCAATTATCAGAAGACAAACGAGTAAGCATGGCGGCCATTGTTAAAGCAAAGGCTCTTTTTTTTCTCAGTGTCTTTTCTTTAATTAATTTGTCAAAATTCTGTCGGTTACGACTGTGCAGAAATTGATCGACTGCTTCAACAACACCTACTAGCTCTGTAGCCGCCATTTTTACTTCTGTAAACAGAGCGTGTTGTGTGTGACGTCTTCTTTTGCGCACGTGTGACGCTTTGAGGGCCATGAACCGTTCACACTGGAGCGCGTTTGCTGTCACATTTTATTCGTAGTGTGAAAAACAGACAAAAATTTTTTGGATTTGATCAAAAAATCAGAATTTAGCATTAAGACCTGCAGTGTGAACGTGGCCTAATTCATATGATTTAAAGAACTTTGCATCAGCATAAAACAATCTTTCCATCATCAGCTTGAAGACATAAAATAAAGTGCTGTGTGAATGGATCAATGCTTTGCAGCAGGAAGCACTTAGAAAGCAACTAACGTGCACTAAAGGGTGAATTGACGTTTTTCAGAACAATTATCCCTTCTTGACTTTGACCATTACAGATGATGTCAAACATGTTGCCCTCATCTCCTGGAACAATGGCATACTCCACCCGTGCGTTGCTGCCTACATCCAAATCCTGGGCTTGAATTCGTCCCACAGCTGCACCCAATGATGCTGACTCTGGTACATGAAGATTAAAAATACCTTAAAGAGTAAGAAAGATCAGTAAAAAGGGACAACCAATTAAACACATAAAGAGAGTAAAAACAAACCAACAAACGAAAAACAGCACTTTTCTTTATGTATTTAAAAAGTTTAAAAAAATTCCTTTCTAGGAAAATGCTTCCTAGAAAGTAGGTAGTGGTTATTATCCAATTCAAGCTACACTTATACTTTTCCAGCCAAAGCTTAATTATCATTTCTTTAGAATGATCATTATTTTAACTTCTAATTAGAGTTGATTGGGATAAAGTGATCGATAGAGGAAATTCTACTTCAGTGGTTAAACAAAGTGGAGGAAAGGCGTTACACTCAGTGACTATCCAGCAGGTAAATAAAAGAAAATAAGATTTAATGTATAGACTATGGAGCAGTTATCCTGCACAGGTCAAATTATTATGGTGAAGTATTCACAGGGTGATCTACTAGCAGTGTGGTGTAATTTAGACGCAAAGACCCAGCAAGTTCACGTCAGTAATGTACAGTGTTCTGCCAGGAGGAGCCCAAACTAACATCTCAAAACAATGAGCAGACCAGGTAAGGTCGCTGAGGGAGCAAGTAATAACCTATTAACAAAAAAAGGTTTAATTCAATTTGATTCAATTTTTTTATACAGCACCAAACCACAACGACAGTCATCTCAAGGCACTTTATATTGTAAGATCGACCCTACAATAATCCATCCATCCATCCATTCACTTCCGCTTATCCTTTTCAGGGTCGCGGGGGGCGCTGGAGCCTATCCCAGCTGTCATAGGGCGAAAGGCGGGGTACACCCTGGACAGGTCGCTAGTCTGTCGCAGGGCCAACACACAGGGACAGACAACCATTCACACTCACATTCACTCGCACATTCACACCTAGTGGCAATTTGGATTATCCAATTAACCTATCCCCACAAGCTGCATGTCTTTGGCTGGTGGGAGGAAGCCGGAGTACCCGGAGGGAACCCACGCAAACACGGGGAGAACATGCAAACTCCACACAGAAAGACCCCGGCCTGATGGTGCAATTGAACTCAGGACCTTCTTGCTGTGCGGCAACAGTGCTAACCACCGTGCCACCGTGCTGCCCCTACAATAATATAACACAGAAAACCTCAACAATCATATGACGCTATGAGCAACTATGACAAGTAATCATGGACTCATATTAATTTAGTGAATAAAGAAATGCAAAACACGGAAAATAAAAAATAAAAAGATTTATATAGCAAAAGAGAAAATGAAGGCTCAGTGACGCATTATAAGAAATCGTGCTCATTCATTTATATTTAGAAATTAAAAAGCTGTTGCGTACCCTTTTTGTTTATATGCACAATTGAACACAGGGTGTGGTAAAGTGCGCTAGCAGAATGATTTGACAATAGAGGAGATGAATGTCTGAATGTTCATGCTGTAAAAATGTAAACACACCCAATCCTGAGCTCACCTGTTCAGTATATAAAGTGTAGGAGTGCTCCTGAGATTTAGTATCACAGTCCAAGGAAACTAATCTGCAGAACTGACCTGTTCATCACAATGAAGCTGACTGCTCTAATTGTCCTTTGGGCACTCTCCAGCACAGGTAACTGCTCTTTTCCTTATCATTCAGGATTTAATTTAAACATTTAAAGTCTAAATTTTACAATAAAAGAAAAAGAAAACCTTAAAGTTTATTTTATATAGATATTAAATGTCCTTTTCCAAGAACATCCAAGCAGTTTACAAGATTAGGTAACTACATGAGCATCACACCAAAAACATAACTAAGTTTTCTCTCAAAGCATTATCAGGAAACCAGATATCTGTCAGCATATATGTAGAGAAAATAGATCAATGAGCGTGATACAGCCAATTAAAAACAAAGAAACCCAAGAGGCTCTGAGAAAGATATGCCATACATTTTGTTTTAGTTTATAAATTCTGTTTCTGAATCTGTTTGGCAAACTGATGTGGAAATCTTTTACTTTCGCCAAATCATTTCACTGAGTGGATAAGTTCTACTTCATGCTGAGCAAAACTGGAAAGTGAACATTTCTTTCAGTGTGGACATCTTGATGGATGGCTTAACACTTTGTTCAGTTTGTGATGTGGATGTCACAACCTGTTATCGCGTGAACTGGTTGTGATTGGGAAAACAGGTTTAACCCAGAGATAACTGGGAGTTAAAGTCCACCTTAATATTTCATATTGGTGATCGCATCTAGTGGTCAGATTCTTTTCTCACACTTTTCTCACACTTTTCTACACATGCCATAAAAATTATAACATTTTAATATAGTTTCACAAACTGTTAAATGTTGGAAGGTTTTCAGAGCAGGCCTCCATGGTGTAAATTATCCTTAATAGATTAACCTTAAATTAACTTTAATGTAGTGTTTCATGTCGACTTTATTAAAAATATTTATGCACACACATGTTAAAGAGATTAACTGCATTTCATCAATCTGTGTAACAGTGTAAAGAAATCGAAGAGATAAAGATTCTTTAATTATACTGGGGTATTTTAAAACCTTTCATTATAACGTCAATCCTTTTATTGTTTCTCTCCTGATTGCAGCTGGAGCCATGCAGAGCATTGGTACCATAACAGCAGGACCAACCTGTAATTCACCCTTGACCACTGCAGCACCAACCACAACCACAGCCAACCCAACTACAACTACAGTGGCAACAACAACAGTTGCTCCAACAACAACAGCTGCTCCAACCACAACAACTGTGGCACAAACCACAGCAACTGTGGCACCAACAACAACAACAGCTGCTGCAAACACAACAACTGTGGCACAAACCACAACAACTGTGGCACCACCCACAACAACAGCTGCTGCAACCACAACAACAGCTGCTCCAACCGCAACAACAGTTGCTCCAACCACTACAACTGCTGTTCCAACAACAACAGCTTCTCAAACAACAACTGCTGCTCAAACAACAACCACAGCTGCTCCAACCATAACAACAGTTGCTCCAACAACAACAGCTGCTCCAACCACAACAACTGTGGCACAAACCACAAAAATTGTGGCACCACCCACAACAACAGCTGCTGCAACCACAACAACAGCTGCTCCAACCACAACAACAGTTGCTCCAACCACTACAACTGCTGCTCCAACAACAACTGCTGCTCAAACAACAACTGCTGCTCAAACAACAACCACAGCTGCTCAAACCACTACAACTGCTGCTCCAACAACAACACCAGCTGCTCAAACCACTACAACTGCTGCTCCAACAACAACAGTTGCTCCAACAACAACAACAGCTGCTCCAACCACAACAACAGCTGCTCCAACAACAACAACAGTTGCTCCAACCACAACAACAGCTGCTCCAACCACTACAACTGCTGCTCCAACAACAACTGCTGCTCAAACAACAACACCAGCTGCTCCAACCACAACAACAGCTGCTCCAACAACAACATCAGCTGCTCAAACCACAACAACTGTGGCACCACCCACAACAACTGTGGCACCACCCACAACAACAGCTGCTGCAACCACTACAACTGCTGCTCCAACCACAACAACAGTTGCTCCAACAACAACAGCTGCTCCAACCACAACAACTGTGGCACAAACCACAACAACTGTGGAACCACCCACAACAACAGCTGCTCCAACAACAAAAACAGCTGTTCAAACCACTACAACTGCTGCTCCAAAAACAACAACAGTTGCTGCAACAACAACAACAGCTGCTCCAACCACAATAACAGCTGCTCCAACCACTACAAATGGTGCTCCAACCACAACAACAGCTGCTCCAACAACAACAACAACTACTTCAACCACAACAACAGTTGCTCCAACCACAACAACTGTGGAACAAACCACAACAACTGTGGCACAAACCACAACAACAGCTGCTGCAACCACAACAACAACTGCTCCAACCACAACAACAGTTGCTCCAACCACTACAACTGCTGCTCCAACAACAACTGCTGCTCAAACAACAGCCACAGCTGCTCCAACCACAACAACAGGTGCGCCAACAACAACACCAGCTGCTCAAACCACTACAACTGCTGCTCCAACCACAACAACAGTTGCTCCAACCACAACAACAGCTGCTCCAAAAACAACACTAGCTGCTCCAACCACTACAACTGCATCTCAAACCACAACAACAGTTGCTCCAACCACTACAACTGCTGCTCCACAAACAACAACAGCTGCTCAAACCACAACAACTGCTGCTCCAACAACAACAACAGTTGCTCCAACCACAACAACAGCTGCTCCAACCACAACAACTGCTGCTCCATCAACAACAACAGTTGCTCCAACCACAACAACAGCTGCTCCAACCACTACAACTGCTGCTCCAACAACAACTGCTTCTCAAACAACAACCACAGCTGCTCCAACCACAACAACAGCTGCTCCAACCACAACAACAGCTGCTCCAACAACAACATCAGCTGCTCAAACCACCACAACAGCTGCTCCAACCACAACAACAGCTGCTCCAACAACAACAACAGTTGCTCCAACCACAACAACAGCTGCTCCAACCACTACAACTGCTGCTCCAACAACAACTGCTGCTCAAACAACAACACCAGCTGCTCCAACCACAACAACAGCTGCTCCAACCACAACAACAGCTGCTCCAACAACAACATCAGCTGCTCAAACCACTACAACTGCTGCTCCAACCACAACAAGAGTTGCTCCAACAACAACAGCTGCTCCAACCACAACAACTGTGGCACAAACCACAACAACTGTGGCACCACCCACAACAACAGCTGCTGCAACCACTACAACTGCTGCTCCAACCACAACAACAGTTGCTCCAACAACAACAGCTGCTCCAACCACAACAACTGCTGCTCCAACAACAACAACAGTTGCTCCAACCACAACAACAGCTGCTCCAACCACAACAACAGCTGCTCCAACAACAACAACAGTTGCTCCAACCACAACAACAGCTGCTCAAACCACAACAACAGCTGCTCCAACCACAACAACTGCTGCTCCAACAACAACAGTTGCTCCAACCACAACAACTGCTGCTCCGACAACAACAACAACTACTTCAACCACAACAACAGTTGCTCCAACCACAACAACTGTGGAACAAACCACAACAACTGTGGCACAAACCACAACAACAGCTGCTGCAACCACAACAACAACTGCTCCAACCACAACAACAGTTGCTCCAACCACTACAAATGCTGCTCCAACAACAACTGCTGCTCAAACAACAGCCACAGCTGCTCCAACCACAACAACAGCTGTGCCAACAACAACACCAGCTGCTCAAACCACTACAACTGCTGCTCCAACCACAACAACAGTTGCTCCAACCACAACAACAGCTGCTCCAACAACAACAACAGTTGCTCCAACCACTACAACTGCTGCTCCAAAAACAACAACAGCTGCTCAAACCACAACAACTGCTGCTCCAACAACAACAACAGTTGCTCCAACCACAACAACAGCTGCTCCAACCACAACAACAGCTGCTCCAACAACAACAACAGTTGCTCCAACCACAACAACAGCTGCTCCAACCACTACAACTGCTGCTCCAACAACAACTGCTTCTCAAACAACAACCACAGCTGCTCCAACCACAACAACAGCTGCTCCAACCACAACAACAGCTGCTCCAAAAACAACATCAGCTGCTCAAACCACCACAACTGTGGCACAAACCACAACAACAGCTGCTGCAACCACAACAACAGCTGCTCCAACCACAACAACAGTTGCTCCAACCACTACAACTGCTGCTCCAACCACAACAACAGTTGCTCCAACAACAACAGCTGCTCCAACCACAACAAGAGTTGCTCCAACAACAACAGCTGCTCCAACCACAACAACTGTGGCACAAACCACAACAACTGTGGCACCACCCACAGCAACAGCTGCTCCAACAACAACAACAGCTGCTCAAACCACTACAACTGCTGCTCCAACAACAACAACAGTTGCTGCAACCACAACAACAGCTGCTCCAACCACAACAACAGCTGCTCCAACCACTACAAATGCCGCTCCAACCACAACGAAAGCTGCTCCAACAACAACAACAGCTCCTCCAACCACAACAACTTTGGCACAAACCACAACAACTGTGGCACCAACCACAACAACAGCTGCTGCAACCACAACAACAGCTGCTCCAACCACAACAACTGCTGCTCCAACAACAACAGTTGCTCCAACCACAACAACTGTGGCACAAACCACAACAACAGCTGCTGCAACCACAACAACAACTGATCCAACCACAACAACAGTTGCTCCAACCACTACAACTGCTGCTCCAACAACAACTGCTGCTCAAACAACAACCACAGCTGCTCCAACCACAACAACAGCTGCGCCAACAACAACACCAGCTGCTCAAACCACTACAACTGCTGCTCCAACCACAACAACAGTTGCTCCAACCACAACAACAGCTGCTCCAACCACAACACCAGCTGCTCCAACCACTACAACTGCATCTCAAACCACAACAACAGTTGCTCCAACCACTACAACTGCTGCTCCAAAAACAACAACAGCTGCTCAAACCACAACAACAGCTGCTCAAACCACAACAACAGCTGCTCAAGCCACTACAACAGCTGCTCAAACCACAACAACTACAGCTGCTCCAACCACAACAACAGTTGCTCCAACCACAACAACGGCTGCTCCAACAACAACAACAGCTGCTCAAACCACAACAACAACTGCTCCAACGACAACAACTGTGGCACAAACCACAACAACTGTGGCACAAACCACAACAACAGCTGCTGCAACCACAACAACAGCTGCTCCAACCACTACAACTGCTGCTCCAACAACAACAGTTACTGTAACCACAACAACAGTTTCTCCAACCACTACAACTGCATCTCCAACAACAACCACAGCTGCTCCAACCACAACAACTGCTGCTGCAACCACAACAACAGTTTCTCCAACCACAACAACTGCCGCTCCAACGACAACCACAGCTGCTCCAACCACAACAACAGCTGCTCCGACCACAACAACGGCTGCTACAACCACAACAACGGCTGCTACAACAACAACCACAGCTGCTCCAATCACTACAAATGCGGCTCCAACCACAACAACAGCTGCTCAGAAAACAACAACGGTTGCTCCAACTACAACAGCAGCAACTCCAACCACAACCACAGCTGCTCCAACCACAACCACAGCTGCTCCAACCACAACAGCAGCTGCTCCAACAATAACAACAACAGCTGGTCCAACCACAACAACAGCTGTGGCACCAACCACGACAACAGCTGCTCCACCAACCACGACAACAGCTGCTCCAACCACAGC